TGAGATTTTAATAAGATGTGATGGCCTTTGCACCTGATATGGGTCATGTTGATTGATTTTTTTTATTTTTTATTTGTTAGATATAATGATAATTGGTTTTTAATATTTTTTTGCTATTGAATGAAAAATTACAATAATAAAATTATAATTAATTGTTATGATATTTAATAATTTTAATTACTATTAATAATTATTACAATATTTACTAGTCATTGTATATCTGTTAATAGCCTTTGTGAATTTATTAAAAAATAATTATAGTTAAATAATTAATTTTTTCTTTATTCTCTTTCTATATTAGTATAAACATACTTAGCATGTGGTATGAGAAAAGAAATAAAATGATGATGTTTTCTCATAAAGAAATAGTGTTTTGTTTTTTTTAAAAAAAATAAACACGATTCTCCGTGACTATTAAATGGAAGAATAATTACAATAATATTAATATAATTAATCATTGTGATATTAAATAATTTTAATTATTATTAATACTAACATCAATCATTACTAGCCATTATATAGACATTACTAGCCATTGTTATTTTATTAAAAAATCAACTATAGTTTAATAGTTGATTATTTATTTATTCTTACCTTACATAAAGTATAAACATTAGCGAGCATTTTGTATGAGAAGAAATAAAAATAATGATAATGTTGTTTTCTTATGAAATACTGTTATACTTTTAAAAGTTTTTATACACAATTTTCTTTTGAAAAATGAAATTGAGCATTCATATAAGTCTATGCGTTGTAAGTGCACGTTTACATATGATCGATTCTTGTATATTGAAGGAAGTTATTTTTAACCTATTATATTAAGAAAAACTTTTCGAGAGATGCAATTTATTTTTAAAGATAGTGATTATACATTATAACAGATAATTTTATTATATTTTCTATTAATATTTTGATTTATCCAACTCTATTCTAATTCTTCATTGATGGCTTTTAATATTTCCATCGGTTGACTCCTATTCTATTAAAATATCATATTACATATAAATTAAAAAATATATATATTTTTTAAATCGATTTTTTAAGTAAAATAAACGGTCATATTAAGAGATTGAAATTACTAATTCTAGAGAATGAAGATAATATATTACATTATCAAATTTTGTTAGGATTTGATGAAAGGTACTTAAATTTGATAATTACTGTTTGACTAAATATTTAATTAAATTTTATTTAGTCAAAATGTCTGAATTTAATCATAAAAATATATTATTAAATCGTTATTAATGCAATCACTGTTAAATGTTGAAAATGCTTCTCAACGCTGGACACATCAGCTAGTTAGGTTGAGTTACTAGAAAAGATTGTTTTGAAAAAAGTACGAAGGATGGCCAACTTTGTCACTTCATAGATTCATGGATGGGATTGCTAAATAATGGTGTAAAATGGCACCGAACTAGTAAAAAATACATGATATAGGTTTTTTGACTCTTTTTACAGACAAGAAAGTTGGGAAAATGGTGTATTATTAGATAAAAGGAAAATGACAATCTCATCGATACTTAAAAAGTACAAAAAAAAAAAAAAAAGCATCATTTTTATACTGTAACTTCCAGATATAAGGAAAATAAAAATGAAAATTTGTTATCTGAAATGTTATTTACCAACACCAACATATATATGGCTTTCTATTAATAATGTATTATTAATTGCTTGAGTTTTCAGAGTGGATTTTATTTATTTATTTTCATCTTTTGATACTAGCTATTGTAAATCCCTTAAATTTTTTTCTTACTATTTTTTTTGCAAGAAACTGCCTCGTATATTGCAAGATTCATGTCGGAAATCAGTAAGAAAATGAATTCCCCATTGCCTCGTATAACTGAACAATTGATTTCCAAATGACCACTTTCCTTGTTATCTTTTATAGCTTTTAATTTATTTTATTTTTTTTGTCATTAAAAGAACTCAATTAGACATCATTCGTCATTGCGCTAGCTATTTTTCATTTTGATTTAAAAAGTCACCTCTCACCATGAAAAATTTTCTGCTGATACTATTTTTCATGTTTAGGTTCTTAGTTTCATAAAAGTAATCATCACATCATCTCTACTTGTCAAAACATCCATCTTTTTGCCCACCAGCTAGCAACCTAGTTACTGCCTTCCTTCTCAATCGTCATTTCTATACGTAGCAATTAAATGATGACACTGTTAAACTTATATATATATATATATATATATTCAAATAGGCTTTCAGATTTCGATATATACAACATGTTGGAAATTTCGACAAATAAATCTTGGATATAAATTTTTTTTTCTTGATCCTGAAAAAGAAATTTCTGTTATATTCAAATAGGCTGTGGTTTTATAAGGGTTGATGGATGTGATAAAGATTTGAGAGTAGTTCAGTACTCTTCAATAAATAGTATAAACTACTCTAGTCCTTTCAACGCATAATTTTTCTGATCTACTTTCATTTACAGAGCTGTTTCAGCTCCCGGAATCGGAGTTCTAATCATTACAGTCTGCTAATTCAGGAGAAAATTCTCATCCAATAACTTCATTGCGTGCTGCAAGGGAAAAACCAGAGACAATCAAAGTATTGAGATCATTTTAAGAAACCATGCACCCTTGGCATCAAAAAGATACGGCTATTTAGAAGTTAAGAAAATGACAGAATCCCTCGAGGATAAACTATGCCGAGTAGGCTATGGAGGTGTTTTCAAAGGAAAGTTACCTGAAGGTTGTCTTGTGGCAACGAAGGTTTTGAAGGTATAAAAAAATGGAGAAGAATTTGTGAATGACATTGCAAGCATCGGTAGGACTTCCCAAGTCAACATTGTTACTATATTAGGGTTCTGTTTTGAAGGTTCCAAACGAGCTCTCATCTATGAGTTCATGCCTAATGGATCTCTCGAGAAGCACATATAAGAAGAAAGGGCCTTGAAGGCAGATCGCCAATTGTGGTGGAAAACATTATACCAAATTTCTATTGGCATAGCTTGAAGACTACAGTACTTGCACAGAAGACGTAACACAAGTTTACATTTCGACATAAAGCCTCATATATGACATTCTTCTAGATGAGAATTTCTGTTATAAAATTTCTGATTTTGGGCTAGATAAATTATGTCTCAGAAAGGAGGGCATCGTATCAACGTTGGGGGCGAGAGGAACTACTGGATATATTGCTCCAGAAGCATTTACTAGAAATTTTGGAGTGGTCTCTCACAAATCTGATTTTTATAGCTATGGAATGCTGGCGTTTATATTTTCCTCATTGGATATACAAGCATCTTGAAATAGGCGAAGACCTGGAACTTCGTGGTATTAGCCATGAAGAGGAAAACCAAATAGCAAGAAAGATGAGTTTAGTGAGCTTGTGGTGCATCCAAACAGATCACTCAAGTCGTCCATCAATTGGCAGAGTGGCGGAAATGTTGCAAGGAGACCATGAGTCCTTGCTAATCCCACTCCAACCTTTCTTATTTTCCCCTGCAAGATCTCCTCAGAGATCAACTGAAGATTCTTCAATTGCAACACTATTAAGATTATGATGCTCTAGAGCAACTTCAAGACCATAGTCGTGACAAACATTAGTACTCTATTTCTTGCGATCATGTAAGAAAACGTAGTGTCATCCTAAGATTCCACTGTATTGTGTACCAAGATTGTCGTCTACAACTGTATGGTCTCACTGTGTAAGAGCTCGTCAGCTCATGTTTATCTGAAAGGCTATCTACATAATTGGTTACTTCCACTTTAGTAGTTGAACTATAAAACACGCTTCAAAGATTTTACGTTTTCAGTTGTTATTTATCAATGATCTATCAGTGGGTTAGTATTTAACTATTTCATGTCTACAATGTCTTGTTTGAATGTTGTACTTGGAATTTTGGGATGCGAACATGAAATCTTTGTCTAACTTGGAATCCAACCATTCACTAAAACGTTAAATCTTTGTTTGTAATCTTAGTGGCTGATTCCCACTTCTATGCTCCATAAAAAATGAAGCTAATTTAATTTCTGTTGAATTAGTGTTTGGCAAATTCCTCCTTCTGAGTTCTCATTGGTATTTGTATTCATCTATTGTACTGAGATTGCTTGAATTCGTTTTGGTTGCCACTGCCTAAATTTGGATATGATTACTGCTGTTTTAATGATTTTGGTCTATTGCTTCTCTAGGTTTTTTTTTTTTTTTTTTGGGAGGTTTAACATCGAACTCATTTTTTAGATTCAAGGTTTCCAGTTGCAGTTGTTTGATCCTTACCAATTCAATTTGAAGCTCCTCTCCATGCATGTACTGCATTTTGGTGTCAGTCTGCATTGACAATATAAATGGACTTGCGCTAAAATTATAGTTGACCGCTACTATTCATAAATTGATGGTGCTGCTGGATTTCTGCAGTTTAATTTGATTGCTCTTGCTGCCACAGAGATCGCCAATTCATAATTTCTTCGACTTGTTATTTGGTGCAAAAATTAATGATAAGGGAGTAAAGGTCAAGACTCGAGTAATACCACGCGTTGCAAGGGATTCTTTATCTAGAGATTGTTGTAATTGTAAATGAGAAAAGAAAATACAAAGCTTTTAAATATTGCTGCAGTGTAATATTTTGAAGGAGAAACTGAAACTTCATACATCTAATGTCAGAACCATTACAATTTATAGCTTGAAAAATAACTACTCACTAAACATGGTCCTAAGATTTAGGCCATGATCACACAACATGAATAACAAACAAGAACAACATGAATGACCAACACCAGAAAAATACGAACAACTTTGAAACATTCAATTAATGACTCCACATCAGCAGTCCTAAACATATCATTTAACACTCCTCCTTGCTTTAGGAGCTACAAACACCAAGTTTTGTCCTCGGATATTCAAACTTGCTAACCTACAGCGGCTTAGGCTGCGTTTGTTTCAAGGAAAACAAGTTCCTGTTTTTTCGTGTTTGTTTGGCCATCATGGAAAAAAGTCAAAGAAGTTTGTTTTCCAGTCACGAAAATTAAAAGCCAACTTTAGGGGAAATGACTTCCCAAATTGAAAACGGGAAAAAATTTTCTCTTTGGAGCTCGTCGTCGTCCATCCCCTTCATACCCAAACTCATCGGAACGGTTGTCGCTCGAAGCCGACCTAAGGACATCTCTCGCCACCCAACGTCGCCGCAACAAAGAAAAAACCACCTTCGAGAATCCAAAGCCCGCAAAGGAACGGTTAGATCTGCTCGTGATTTCTCTTCCTCTTTGAGAGTCCGTCGCTTTCTTGTGTTTTCCTTCTTGCAAAATGCTCGCTACGTTTTCCTTCTCTCGCCACCCAAGGAATCGATTTATTGCTTGCTATTTTATTTTACACAAAAACATTGAAATTATTATATCCTAAAGGGCTTAAGCATCCGGGTCTCGTTTTGTATTCATGGGATCTAGAAAATTTAAATATTCACCTTTAAGTTTTTGATGATGCAGTGACGTAGCCGAGGTGTAATTGTAGAATAAACTTTGCCTTTTGCCTTCTTCTTTTGTTTGCTATTTTCACTCTAGTAAATCACCGTATTCGAACTCGGTTCATTAGCAGTCACCCATGACACTATCACTCCCTTCCCAGCTTGATCTCCTTGTGTTATATGAACATCACAAAGTATCAATTGTCAAGATAACACTCGGGAAATAATGCTGGTTCTTTGATACATCAATCTCTTTTTAGCAATGAATGTTTGTCTTCCGATGACCATATGATTAAGGAATCTACCGAATGGGCCAAGTTAGCCATCAATCGTGCCATTTCGTTTGAGGTTATTACTATTTGGCATGTTCTTTCCTTTTAGAAGTCCCCGCATGTATTTGGGTGTATTGAGTCGTGTCCGGGGTTGCACTCTATCATGGAGGAGATTTTGGGTTCTCGATTCGTCATGGAGGAGAAGTGATCGGGATTGCTTTGAAGATGTGGGTGACGTAGTCCGTCAAAAAAGTCGAATAAATTATGAGTATAGAGTATAGAATTGGTGGAAATGGGGGAGAGGCAACTTTTGATTTATCGAGTAAATATGAGTCGACCAACATATAGTCATTGGTTGTTTGTTCTTCCTTGAAATGGTTGATCTCTTCTTGTCGGACTTACCCTACTACCTTGGTCATTGTCTCCGGAGTACCAAAGGTAATTTTTTCTATTTGGCTTTAGAAATTTCATTAGAAGTTTCCTTTTCTTGTTTTTTTCCTTTTGGCATGAATTTTGTGTATGATTATTATTATTGTTATCTTTTTCTTTTTATGGGGGTTCAATCTTCATTACGAATTACGTTGGGCCTTAAAATTCCAAGGGAAAGCTCGTTCTCCCCGAAACGATGCCACCCCTAACAGTTTAGTTTTTAAATTATAATTTCTAAATATTTTGAGTTATTATCCTGCTTGTATACATGTTGTAATTTTAGCAATTTCTTTTTTTTTTTTTATCATTTGGTGTTTATTGAATGAGTGATGATGTTATTTGACAATTTCACTTGTTTTTATTTTTTGAAATTCTGTTTATTGGCAATGCTTGTAGAAATGAGTAACACAAAGCAAGAAAAAGTTAAAGCCGAACAATTTAGGTGGACAAAACCTATGTCTCATACGTTGCTTGAGATTTTGGTCGAGTCTATGAAAGGGAATAAACCTTCTTTCATTTTCAAACAAGACAGACTTTGCACGTGTAGCAAGAGAAATCAATTTGAAATTTGGATTAGATTGTTCTCTTGATCATTTTAGAAATCATTTGAGGACAATAAAAAAAGAATGGAAGATTATTAGCCAATTGCAAGAGAAAAGTGGTTTTGGATGGAATGATGAGTTGAAAATGATAAGCTGTCTCAAAACAAGTTTATGATGAAGAGATAACGGTAATATATTTTTTTTCAATGTCTCAACTTGTTTTTCTATATTTATAAGATGTTTTCTAATTTCTTTGAACATACGGGCACATCCTAACCATGAGAAATACTTGAACAAGAAAATTGAGATGTACAATAAGATGGCATTTGTTGTTGGACAAGATATGGCCACAGGAAGTTTTGCCAAGTCATTTACCGATATTAACTTGGTTGAGAGTTTTGAAATGGAATCTACGAGCACCGAGATGAAGTTGACATAGGCAAAGGAAAAGAAGCATCGTCAACTAGTATGCTTCGGAAAGAGAAGTCACCGAAAAAGAGGTCGTGAAGCCGACGAATCAATTACATCTGTTTTGGTCGTGGAAGTGAGAGAAGTGGCTAAAGCAATTCACGTTCTAACAAAAAATGAAGTTGATATAGATCAGCTTTATGATGTGGTGATGAAGATTACCGATTTTGACGATGGCATATTGAATAATGTGTTTGATTACTTGGTACAAAATGAAAGGTTGGCAAAGGCTTTTATGGCAAGAAATGAAAAACATAAAAAGCTTTGGATTGAAAAGTTTATCAATGAACATGGTGGATCATCTACACGATGTTATGTGTGACTTTCCTATTATGTATTTGAATTTGTAAGAGTATGGATTTTATAGACGATTTTTATGTTTTTTGGATATTGGATCTTTACGACTACCTTTGTAGCTATTATTATTGATATGAGATATTTTAATTATGGTTGTTTTCCGGTGTACAAATTGTTGTGATGCATGGAAGGGATTCGACTTTTGGATTGTGAGTAGTAATAGGTTAAATTGATAGAATGGAAAGAATTATTTAATTTATTTATACATTCAAGTTTTTCATTATAATTTTATTATATGATCTTTTTTTATAAATAATTATATTATATTTTTTATGTTTCGGTTGTCATATTAAAAAATTTCAAATCAAATTTTTATCCTTTATAATTATATTAAAATTCATCTTATCAAAAAAAAAATTTTAAAAATTATAAGTAGTGTTATTTCAATTACAAAATATTACGTTATTATTTATTAGTTTAAATTTATGAATTTTAATATAAAAAAGTTCAACAAGATTAACTTTATTTCTTTTCTCATGTTAAAACTAAAACTTAAAAATGTACATAGTGGGTTTGTAATCATGAAATTGTGTGTATATATTGGATGTGAGATTTTTTAATAATTTTTATATTGTAAGATTGTCAATATACTTTATTGAAATTTCTTCAAAACTCATTGATATAACAATCACAATATATTTTTGTATTTTAATTTTCTCGTATCAAACAAACACTGGAAAATGTTTTCCAACGAGTATTTTCATATAATTGCCAAATGCTAGAAAATATTTTTTGGAAAACAATTTCCTGAAAAATAGCTTCCTCAAGAATTGATTTTCTTATGGAAGTTGTTTTCCGCCAAACAAACGAGCCTAATAGAACCATCGGCATTAAGCTTAGTTCTATACATCCACTTCACCCCAATCACTTTCCTGCCTTGGGGTCTTTTCACAAGAGTCCATGTTTTGTTTTTCTCTATCATTGATGACTCCTCCTTCATTGTAGCTATCCAATTTTGATTTTTCTTTGCCTCTTCATAATCTATGGGTTCACACACAACTATATTACATCTTTCATAAACATCGAGAGTAATCTAGTACCTCTTACGAGAACAACATCATCCGTCATCTCATTTTGTCGATTTTGATTTCCATGTTCGTGAAGCTTGTTCGATCCGCCTTCTTTGCAACATCCTAGTTCCATTCTTCATGTTCCATGAACCGCACATCCTCGCTAACAATGATGCTTCCGAGTTTAAGGTTGGAAGACTTTATAGGCTTTGCTAACCGTATCGTAGCCTATAAAAACACTCGGTGATGCTCTTTTATCCACCTTATCTTGCTTGCTCTATGGAACATGAGTGAAACACAAACAACCAAACACCTTGAGAAATTTCGGAGATGGTTTGTAACCATACTATGCCTCAAATGATGTTTGATCTTCCACTGCTTTTGTGGGGAGCTATTTTGAAGAAGAACAACGATATTTGATGCCTCTCGCCCAAAATGTCTTTGGCAAATTCTTCTCATGTAACATGCATCTCGTTATCTCTACGATATATCGATTTCTCTTCTCATTGACTCCATTTTGTTATGGAGTATAGGGAGTTGTAAGTCGATGTTCGATGCTTCGCATCATCGGAGAATTGATTGAATTCTATGGATGTGTACTCCTTGTCATTATCCGATCTTAATATCTGAATTTTGCAGCCACTTTCATTTTAAAACCTTACTTTAAACTTCCGGAAGACTCGGAGCTACCTTTGATTTGTGCTTCAAGAAAAAGATCCAACACATCCCGGTGAAGTCATCAATGAATGCAATATAATAAAGACTACCTTCTAGAGAGGGTGTTCTTTGAGGGCCTGAGACATCCGTATGAATTAATTGCAATTCTTTGATGCTCTCCACGTCACCTTAGATAAATGGTTTTCCGATTTGCTTACCAACCGACATGCTTTGTAGTTTGAATGTAATCATCAAATTCCGAAAGATCATTTGCCATCACCTTGGATTTCATCCGTAGCGACCCCCGATGATGATGATGCCCGAGCCTCTTGTGCCATACTTCGTGATATTTACTTTGCTTGGGAAAGCGGTTGCTCCTCCTCCAATGGATTTAGAGCAAAGCTTTTCCCTTTCATTTTTACTTTAAAAACATCTTGATCCGTTGCATCTTTGATCAAGCAATATTTGTCTTCAAAAGTAACTTTAAATCCTCTTTCAATTAGTTGACCAACACTTAACAAGTTTTGATCAATTTCAAGAATAAAAAGAACATCGGGAATAACTTTTTATACCCGAACTACTTGCTATTGCAACTGTCCCCTTTCCTTTGATCGAGATGTGATCACCATTGCCAATTCGACTTTGGTGATCTTAGTTAGCCTCAAATCTCCGAAAAGTTCCTTTTTCATTGGTCATGTGGTTAGTGCGACCACTATCAATCAACCAACTTTCACTTGATTCACTCGCTTGAGAAACATATAGCCATAAATAGTAGATCCTCCTCCTCTTGATCAACAATCCGTACTTCTTCATCTTGCCGTTGATTTTTTTTTTTTTTTTATTTTTTTTTTTTTTTTTTTTTTTTGCATATGATAACTTCATGCCCCATCTGGTTGCATTTCTACATTTTGCATAAGGTCTCCTCTAACATTTGAAAGGAGGGTGACTCATTTTGTTACAATGTTGACATGGAGTATAATTTTTGTTTCATGTTTAACCTTTGTTGCTTATTGTAGTACTCTCACCACTTACTCCTTGAATCTTTTTGTTTTTCTCATTATCTTGATGCTTAATTGCTAAGGCTCCTTCAATAGCTCCTTCTTGTCTCATTATATATCGTTGCTCTTGTGCTTGCAAGGCACTCAAGAGCTCGGCTAGTGTAATTTTAGATAGGTCCTTAGTATTTTTTAAGGTTATGATTGTAGCCTTAAATCTTTCGAGCACGATTACAAGGATTTTTTTCAACAATCCTTGAATCTTCTAGAGATGAACCTAGTAATCCGATCCGATTTGTTATACCGAGTAGTCGATCAAAATACTCCCTATGGTTTCGGTCTCCTTCATCCTTTACGACTCAAAGTCACGTGCTAGGTTCAACACTTTCATCCCTCGAATTCCTTCATCTCCTTCATACTCGGTCTTGAGATAATCCCATATCTCCTTTGTTGACTTCGGAGACATGATACGAGTGAAGATAGTGGATGAGACTCGCAACAAACAGCGAGGCTTTTGCCTTTGATTTCTTTGTCTTCTTCTCCTTATATGCTTCGATCCGTGCCATTGTGCCATTGTTCGAAAGTGCGGGAATTTCGTAGTCTTCTTCCACTCGCTTTCCGAAGATCCAAAGCTTCCAAGTATGTTTCCATGCATATTGCCCAAATCTTGTAGTTGTCTCCATCTAACACTAGTGGAGCAATTGAGGAGAGACCGAGCTTCGGCTTTCATGATTTGCCAATCTCGGACACGTGACTCCTTAAGAACCGGGCTCGATACCAATTTGTTATAATTATAAATGAGAAAAGAAAATACAAAAATTTTAAATATTGTTGCAGAGTAAATATTTTGAAGTAGAAACCGAAACTTCATACATTTAACGTCGGAACCATTACAATTTATAGCTTGAAAAATAACTACTCACTAAACATGGTCCTAATATTTAGGCCATGATCACGGAACATGAATAACAAACAAGAACAACATGAATAACCAATGCTAGAAAAATAGGAACAACTTTGAAACATTTAATTAATGACTCCACATCGGCGATCCTAGACATATCATCTAATAGAGATCATGTCACAAAGTTACAACATTTTTTCAATCAATAAAAAGCATCATGGTCTCGGCTATGGTGATATGAAGGATGATGGTTGTCCTAAGGATCTTGTTAACTTCACACTCGTTAATGCTTTGTTTGATTATGCTCCTTCGCGTGCAAACCTAAATTTTGTATGTAATTGCCTCCCCGAAACTCGAAATCAAATACCCTACTACATCAAAATACCCCATAAAAGGTATAACTGTTGAGGGTTTCGCATAGAAGAATGGAAACGGCATGAACATACTCAATTATGTGATAACAACATCCTAGTTCCAGTTCTTAGTGGCTAAAGAACTAAATCGTGAAGCGATAGTGAAGAGAGGTTTCGAATTGGAGCACAAAGGTGAGCGACGAAACTTGTTTGTTTTGTACCGGAACAATAAGTGGACAATGTTGGTATGATCGGATCTGGATGCCCATTTACATGTTTTTCCATAAGCGGTATGCATGTTATCTCTCTTTATCAATTTACTAAAATCATGAAGCATAACTTCAACCTTATTATGATGAGACAACCGGATTTCTGGACTTTAAGAAGCTTCGACTTGAACAATAGAGAAAATTATAAACACTCACCATATTTTTGCACATTAGCAAACCCATCAAATCCTATTTTCTATAACTTTTTTATGACTATTTTTGAAAATACTTCAAAGAAAAAACTCAAACCCCTTGAATTCTATTGTTTCAAAGTACCTTAAAATGCATTTAATGACTTAAGCGACCATAATCGAAATCAACATGTGTGAAGGATGCTCTATTTTTTTACTAGGAGCAATTTTAAATTAACACGAGTAACTTCGAATTGTATTTCCACTTTGCATTCTAAACGAAGTGATCTTAAACAACTTATTAATCACCCCATTAACGAATAAATTTTACTTTGGCCTACAAACTTTGTCCGCCAAACCATTCCATAGCTAATTGTGGAGCAACTTCAAGACACCTACGAGTGACCCGGAAATAGAACTTCGGATCCTATGAACTCTACTCTAAACTCGCATTCATCATACGAGTAAATGAATTGTGAACATATCAATCAATAAATTCAGTAAGAGGGTTATCTTACGGAGTGTTTAGAACAAATGAAGGGCGGAATTCATTTCATTTATAAATGAAATGAACAAGAATTTGTATTTGCAAATGAATTCCTTTGTTTGGAACAAAAAAAAATTATTAGCCAAATCATTCATTTGT